TTCATTATTTATTTATTTAATTATTTATTTAATTAGTTATTTATTTATTTTTCATTTATATAATAATTTTTTAAATTTTTACTTTACATGGGATTCGAACTTAAGCTTTAATTTTTAATTCTACAATTATTACCACTATACCATTATAATTACGTAATAGAATTTATGTATAATTATAATTATATACCTTTTAATTTTAAAACCTTATCTTTAATCTTTAATAACTTTTTAATGAACGAGGTTAATTACGTATATCTTATATTATTTAAATAAGAATTTAAAGCTTTATTTATATATATTTTTTTGGATTTTTTAAATAAAGAATTAGTAAAGATATTAGATTTTAAAACTTTTAAACTTTAATAGCTTAAAGTTTCAATGGCTTTAGTGGCTTTAATGGCTTTAATAGCTTTAATAGCTTAAAGCTTTAGTGGCTTTAGTGGCTTTAATAGCTTTAATAGCTTAAAGCTTTAATGGCTTTAATAGTTTAAAGCTTTAATAGCTTTAGTGGCTTTAATGGCTTTAATAGCTTAAAGCTTTAATAGCTTTAATGGCTTTAATAGCTTTAACGCTTAAATATTCTTTCCTAAAATATTCTTTATATTTAACCTTTAATATTTTAATGTATAGATATTATAGTATTATATATTTAATATTATTAAATAGCGGATTAGCTTTTTTATTTAATTATATAAGTTTTATCCTTATTAAATAAGGATTTGTAAAGTTATTAATATTTAAAGTTTAAAGTGAAAATAAAAGAAAATCTTATTTAATTATCGCGTAAAAAAAGCTTATTAATTACTTATTAATTTTTTATTAATTACCTTATTAATTACCTTATTATTTCGTACCACAATTAATTTTCAAAAAGTTTTAACGTAAAAAACCTCCGGTTAGGATTAGCTTTATATTTAATTAACTTTATAAATATTAATTATATAGTTATATAATTTAAATAAAAAAGTATATATTTTAATTATTTATAATTAAAGTTATTAAAAATTAAAATTAAACCTTTTTTAAAAAGGTTATATAATACTTTTATAATATTTTTAATAAAGTTTAAATTATTTTTAAAAGCTTTATAAAAGTTATATATTAAAAATTATTAAAACTTTTTATTAATATAAATTAAAATAATTATTTAAACAAATATAAATATTAAAAGTAATTATTATTAAA